ATAATTATTTTCCTCAAAACTAATACAGATGTATGTAACGAAAATTTTATATGAACTTGAAATGTATTATATGAGCATTATTTAATAACCATTTTATATATTGTTTCTTATGTTTGATTAACCAATTCTTAAAATGGAATTTTCCAGTTTTACATCCGGTATTTCTCGAAGTGGAAGTAGGGATATAGCGGAGGAGAAACCCGCTGCGCGTTGACACTGATTTTGACGCATTGCTCCCAAAGGATGTGACCCAAAAAGTCAGTGCGGCAAATGAGCAAATGTAGGTGGCGGCAGAAAGGGAAGCGGTTATGGCTACAGAAACCGGTTAAGTGTTCGCCAGTCTGGAGTGCTGGAAATCTGAGCACGGAATATGAGAGATGTCGGGTGGAGTGGGTGCTCGCCTAGTCGTTAGTCGTGGTTTTTAATTTGCGCCCGACTTTTGGGAGGTGAGAACCTGACAAAGTGAAAGGCAGCCGGGCCCTGTGCAGTGGCAATCAGACAGAAGGGAGCCCGGCATTTTAATATGCAGATTGCAGAGCTTGAAATGAAAGTTATGTCGAGGGTGGCAGGGCGGAAGTGTCTTTGAGCTGGTTCGCCAAATCCCAGAACCACCAATTGATAGAGGAGAACTGGTTCAATGCCAGGCCAAATGCTGTGAAGAGAAGGCGAAGCCCGTAGCCCGTTGAAGCTGGAAGCCCAAGCCAAAAAGATTCGCTGCGAGCATCGCACAAGTGCTACACAGGGAAAATGCAAAAGAAAACTGCTGGCAAAAAGAAAAAAAAGGGGAAAATGCGAAAACGCTGAAAACCATGTCAGTTTCATGCTCGCGGCCGCACTTAACATTATTTCTGCTGCACCAGCTACAAGAATCCACTTCTTTTGTGGAGAAACAACAGAAACAACAGCAGCAGCAGTGAAAACAGTGGCAGCAGCACGCTGGTACTGTTCGTTCGTATAACGTATACGCAGCGTGGTACGAGCGCCACCAGGTCAAACTTAAATATTTAATGAAGCGCTTAATGTGCGACTTCCCGTCCTCTCCACAACTTTAACCCTTAAGCAGCCCTAATTGCCGAGACCCAGTGCTGGCTCTTTAAGACCCCCGCTCTCCTCTCTTTGGTCAAGCAGAAAAAACCTGCAAATATTTTTAACAAATTTTTGCCTAATGCAAAAAGTATTTTATTGTGCTGCCGGCCTCTGAAAGCAGGGACAGGTGGGGCCGCTCGGTACCATAAATTTGAGCAGGGGAAAAACAGTAGTAGGGAATAGTAGAGCGTTCTCTGGGCAAGCAGCCCCGAAATATTTGCGGCGGTCCTCTAAGCCCTGGCATGCGGTTGGCCAGGCATGTGCAGCATTTCAAGCAGCGCACTTCACACAGAGCCAAAACAATAATACACACACAGGTACACACACAAAAACACACCCACACACGGGAAAACAAAGGATGTGAAGGCAGCCAAAGCCATACAATTTTTCGGGCGCCCACCGAAGGTAACTAGATGCAGGTGCTGGCTTAGTGATGTCATGATCTGGAACTACGGCTGAATCAGGATATAAATAATTGGCCGGAGAGCTCATAGGAGCTGGAAGACGGATAGGCAATTGATAGAGAGCAGTTAAATGGGGGTTCAAAGAATCGATTGAAAGAGAGAATGTGATTTACTTCGATGAATCTCCTACATACACTCCAAAATTTCTATTATTAATGGTTTGTATACCTTTAAGCTACATCAATTGCGATTCTCAAACTGTACTGTTCAAGCCAATTTGAAATATATACTTTAAGATAAGTGTAAGGAAGGAAAACTATTTCCAATACCAATTATTAAAATTTAAGGAAGACAAAAAAAAAATTAACTCTTCAAATTGTCTTTTTTTGAACAACGTTTTGTTTACTCGAATGAGACCACCCTTAGCTATTCAATCGCTTAATTTTTAAGATTCCAGCTGACTTGGCCAACACTGAATTGCAACCGCTTTGGTGACAAAGCATTACAACATTTGCACAAACCTGCTGGCAAGAGGTATTCTCCAGCAAACCAGGCAAGAACAATACCGTGGTTGGGGCCTGTTTAACATTTAAAGTGAACAATGAAATATGCCCAGACTGGCTCGGATTCAGACCCAGTCTGAGCTCTCTCTCTCTCTCTCTCTGACGCACACCCATCCCTTTTTCCGCCTCCCGCAAGCGTTAACGTTACGCATACGCCCCTTCGGCCGGACGATTTACTTATTTACATCAAAGACCGAGTCAAGGTGTTCTGTGCTGTGTACTCGGCTGATGCGTTGTGGCACTCACAGACGATGCAGCCTGCCTACCAATTACCCACTAAGCCATCACACATCCACCCTGCTTTAGCCTTAACTCACACACCCACATCCACACGCGTTTCAAGGGGATGGGGGTGGGGGTATGGAATAAAGGAGAACCTTGCGGCAGCAGTGGGCGCGATAAACTTGCAAACGTAACAAAATTCGGTCAACACGTTGGCCAAGGCGACGAGCGTGGCCGACAACGCTTGGCGGTACTGGTACTGCCCACATGTGGCCATAATTTTTAAGCGCCAAATGAGCGGCCATCCATTGGCCATGATGTCTGGCATTTGCCGTTACCGTTGCCGTTTGCCTTTTGCCGCTTGCCATCAGCCATTTGTCCCGGCCAGTGCGACATTGTCCTGGGCCAGTCGACACGTATACCTTTGGGCCCTGGCCAAATTGCGAAATGTTGTAGACACCGGACGTGTGGAGGGGTGTGGCGATTGCTAACCGTAGTTGGTGGCCTGCTTGGGACTAATAGCTGCACGTTAAAATTAACAACTTAATTGAGAAAGAACACATATAAATCGTTAAGTGTTTTCGGCTTTCATGGAACAAAATTATTTCCGCCTTCGCTTACGAAACTTATTTGGATTAATTTCGTTTAAATTTCTCTGCACGATTCTTGACCTCAGCTCAACAAAATAATCAGAGCCAGACATTGATAACCCTTTCTAACCAGTTGGCCAAAGGCGAAACGGATACAGTCAACAGCCATTGAGCCACCTCATTCGCATTTTGCACAAATAAAATAAAGTTAGCTTAGGTCGCCGAACACTTGTAAATATTGTCACGCACTATCTCAAATATACGTGAGTGTGCAAATTCCTTTTTATACATATATGCAGACTAACTGCAAGTGCTCAATTTTTGTAAAGGGTTTCTATCAAACACAATATTCTAACATTTAATTTGCTATACATCAGCAAAATAGTTTAAATTTACTTTGGCAGTTTATTAAATAATAAAATTACTCCTTGAATAAATTTAAGTAAATATTACATTTAAAATGTCAAAAATTTTACGTCCTAAAACAACATATTTCTTATATTAAAAATACTTTTGATATTTCCATATTTATTTTTCTTGACAATAAAAAAACTAATGGTGGCCTAGACCAAACTCAAAAAAAATGACGGTGAATGGAATTTTCGATTGTCGCAGGTATTTTTATCAATAAAAACAAAGTTGGCATAGGACAAATTACGCTTGTAAATATTGCCACGTGTTCGCATATAAATAAATATGGTAACTGGCCAATTTGCCTTGGACACATGCGGCTTGAATGCATTGCAGCAGGAGTAGCAGCAGCAGCAAAAAGCAATAGCATGCCACACAAAGTGGCAGGGCACACATTTTGTCAAAAATTCGCCCAACGCAGACAAATGAAAGCCAAACAAAAGCAGAAACAAAAACAGCAAAGATAAAGGGAAACAGAAAGAGAAAAAAAAGGGGGGATGGCAAAGAAACCACAATCGAGACCATTATCAATTACACGCACAGCAGGACACGGCGGCAGGACACAGAAACAGAAACAGAAACAGGAAGATGGAAAACAGAGGGAAAAGGCAGAGGATGAGAATCGCAAACGAAATGAAAATACGCATAAAATTGCAATTTACATCAAATCCATTTGCACCCATATGTACAAGCACGCACACAGATCTACAAATAAAATTCATTCACACGCATAATGAAACTCGCTCTCTTTTTCGTGCTCTCTTTCGCCGCCTCCCCTCCCGAAAAAGCCCTCTGCATTTTCAACAAAAGGCATGCCGAAATAAGGACAACAATGTTTCGAAATAAACAAACAAATGTGACTGGACGCCCGGGGGCGCGGAAAAGCAGCGGGGGGAGTGGCAGCAGTGGGCGGTGGGTGCGGGTGTGGGTGGTGGCGATACCCCGATTAAGCACACGCATCCATCGCCGCTGGAGAGTTTCGGCCGGAGAAAAATCCACGCCCTATATGTAAATTATTAGCCAGGCCACTTTTTGTCCGCCCAACTCGCGACGACACAAGTCCCTGGAGTTTCTGGCGAACAATTTGCGGGCGGCTGAGAAATGGTGGCCGAAAAAGCGGAGAGACATCACAAAAGAGACACACGGCGGCTGGGAGAGTGAGAGTTTGGGTAGAGGATGCTCTCGGTTTGTAGACTTTTCGTTTCCATGTGCCTCAAAGTAAAACGCCCTTTTGGAGTTGCAGCTAAGAGAATAAGCAGCTAAGAGAGTTTTATATTTTTATTTTGATGGCAATACTAAAATCTAAGTTAATGTTTTTTATTAACAAATGTCTAGGAAATACTATTAAAAATCCTGGCCATTCTGTACTCTCCAAAAACTTATGTGGGCACTGTAAAAAAACATTGCCTACTTACAGGCTCGCCCAAGGAATTAGCCAAAATGGAGGATGCATGAAAATCAAAGACCATTGCCAACTTACTGGCTGGTCAGAGGACTTAACACTTGAAGAGAGCCACAGAAGCTGTATCTCAGAGATCCAGAGCGAAGGGTGGCTGCACGCTCTTCGCTTTTGTCGCTTTGTGGCCCAGCATGCGCAGAGCGGCGGAGAGCGGCGGCGACTGCCACACGGCCACATCCCGAGCAGCATCCACTCCAAAGGACCAGCGGCGGCGGCCCCAGCTGCGAAAAAGTCTGCCGTGCAGCGGCGGCCATCAGTAGTTGCCTCAGAGCCCGCGGGTTGAAGAAATCGTACGCATCGAGCGAGTGACAAGCGCCGCGTCTCACCAAACAAAGAAAAGCAAAGGCAGAGCCCACATTAAAAAAAAAAAAAAAAGAAAAACAAATAAAAAAAACTACCGAAAAACACATTTAACCTGCTACACTGACACATAAACAGAGTTAGTCAAACGAATATTTTGTAGTTACCAAAAGATAAAAACCAAAACGCAACAAAATGCTGCCACGAATCGCAGGCAAATGAGCCCGCTAGCCAACGGCTCCCATCTGCGGCTGCTGCAGAGCAGCGAGTCTGAGCCCGGTCCCGCATCCGCATTCGCATTCGCATCCGCATCTGCATCCGCCTCCGTATTCGCATCCTCATCCGCATTCGCATCCGCGTGTCCCTGTGTGTGTGCCAGTGTTCAGCCAAAGCGGACCGCCAGCAATTGCAGTGTAAGGCGTCCGCCAATCGCATTCCAGTAAACTAATCTGAAATTGAGTTTCGTTTCCGGTTCCGCCGTGCGTCGCTCAATCCGTTGGCCAAGTCGGTCGGTTGGTCCGGTCTACACAAGTCGGTCGGTCGGTCACCCATTTAGACATTTAGTGCTGCTCAAAAATTGATGCCAGCAGCAGCGGCTCTGTAATGTAAGTTACACCGCCCGATACCCCGCTAAGTCCGTTCCCCTTTCAACCTGAGACCCGTAAATGTGCTATACTATTTCCACTTAACTGTTGCTCCAACTGCGGCTACGTTCAACGCCCTAGCCAGGCAGACAGGCAAAAAGACAGGCAGACAGACAGACAGACAAACAGACAGACGGACAGGCACACACATACGGACGGACAGGGGCATCGGAAATGTGTGTCAGTGTGCGAGCTCACTGTACTTGAGTATTGAGGCGAAGGCAAGCGCCATGTTTATGCCAGACCCATATCGTGAAATGGTTAATAATAGTTCAAAATCACTTATAGTGTGTATAATAGAACAAAAATTTTGTTTGATTACTAAAAATTCAAACAAATCATAAATCCGTATTGAGCAACAAATATTCGTACAAAGTAAAATGTTTACGTAAAAATGTCAATCGTCTTTTTAAAGGGATTCAGTTAATCCATATATAAATATTGTCGTTTTGTACAAACCAAAGAAAATAAATTATTACGACTAAAGATTTGTTTAGATCCGAAAATCAAACTGTTTCATTATTTATTAAGCACTGCAATTCCTTAACAGAGTTAAAACATAACTTAAAAAAGAATACGTCAATAAAATTTTAAAATACAAATTTTAAGTTATTAGACAGTAGTGAAAAGGCTGCTTTTCAAAGTAACTTTTTCATCTATTAGATTGCAAACGCAAAATATTGCGGTGATTTTTAAATGGCTCCCCGCTACCTAGTAATTATTTTCATGCTTATTTAATCACAATTCAGTGACTCGTGTAAACAAATGTTGACTTCGCTAGGCTCACATGTCTAGGCAGCCTTTGTGTTGATTTTCTCGTTTTATTATTACCTCAAACGTTTTTCTCGTTTGCTCTAATGAATACTCTCCGACCTGTTATCCCAGTTTCGCCAGTCGCCTCCTTCAGCTGCTCCATCCTCCCATCCCAGCCCACTTCCTTTGCCATACTCACCTGCAACCTACTACCTGCAAGGTAGCACATTACCCATACGCCAGGTACGCCAGCCAGTCAGTCAGACAGTCTCCTTCGGTTGGCTTTCCCTGCCTTTCGTTTTTCGCTTTTCGTTTCGTTTCGTTTTTGTTTTCGTTGTTATTGTTTGTAACGCAAATTCCCACTTGCTTAGTTGCCTGTTCTGGCATGTTTTTGTATGCACGCTGTTGGCATTGTCTTTTTCCTGACACACAAATGTAGCTATATAAAAAGCTACCACATATTTATATATGTATTTGTATCCACCCCCCTGTGCGTCGCCAGAGCCATCGTCTTGTTGTTGCGCAAATATTTGCCTTTTTTGAAGTTGATTTTTGGTCTCCGTCTGAGCGCCTTTTGTTGCCAGCTCAAGTTCCTTCCCCGAAACGCCCCACACCGCGCCAATATGCTGATGAATCGTTGCTAAATTGAATATCGAGTGTTTATTTATATTGGCCGGCAAGTGTCACGCCCGCCCGCACCATGTCCAGCAGCCCGAGCTCGGCAAATAATTTGAAATTGATGTATTATCTCGGAGGAAGCGTGGCACAATTGTCTCAGTCGCTGACCCGGTCTTCCTTTTGTGCTGCTGCACGCTTAAGTAGTTTGTGCAGCACAAACAAAATTAAGCAAGTTGCAAGTTGCTGGGACAAAAGTTGCTGTCACAATTGTTATTTCAGCGCTGCGCAGCCAGAGGAAATTCGAGCAAACACTTTATAAAATAAACGAAGCCCTTGACGCAAAAAGGAGGGAGTAAATATTCCTTAGCTACATATTAAAGCCGGCGGTGTCCGATCAATATACAAATGAATCAACGCCAAGGGGACACTGGACAATTGACCAAAAATAGAAATAAACTATAATAGCCCAAAACTTACTGCAGACCATCGTTATTTATAACTTAGAAATCTGTCACAGAGTGCAATTCCATTGCGGTTGCAGTTGCCATGAAATTGCTTTGTCGCTGGGCACCGAAATTTATAGCATTCTTTCCGGAGACAAAATTCAATTTTCAGTTTCCGACGCCTAGCTAAATATTTAAGCCAGCTCATTAGTCGGGATCGCCGGGGAGTAGAGCTTGGCCGGAACGTGCTGCAGCATTCAATCTGGGCTTTAAGCGGCAACTCCAAGGCTCTCGAACTCGAGTGCATTATGCGCCGTACTATCTTTCTGGGAGAAATCTGCAAAATCGGTACGGGCATTGTGGCTGGCGATGCACTTAGTCGACCCGCAGTGCCTAAAAAGAAGAGGACTCCTTTCCCCCATTTATTCAGCGAACTGCCCGCATTGCCGACTGCCCGTTTATGTCGCTCCTTTATGCTCCACGCACACACAAAGAGCCGCAGATTGAGGCACCCAGATACGTTACTCCGATGTCGCTGTAGTGGTGGTTGCTGATGGACATTTGCTGGCAGCTCTTGTGCCTTCCTCGGGACCGTCCCTTTATGCGCCACAAATGAAAATGCAGACAGACAACGGGCGCCAGCCGACGACAGCGGCAGCAGCGACAGCAGCAACAGCAGCAACAGCAACAGCAACATCAGCAACATCGGCAGCAACGACAGCAACGTCTGACGATGACGTCGCATTTGTGGAGACAATGAAACAAACTGAACCCGGCACAGATCGCAGCCGAGTTCGTTGACAACTGTGTCTGTCCTCTTTCCATCTCTGTTTCTATGTATTTATTTAACATGCATTTGAATTATGAGCCAACTGAAAGGATAACGAAACCAAACACAAAAAATAACCAAGCAACTTTGGCTTTAATTCATAATTATTTTTATGTCAGCGAACTCATTAAGAGTTGCAAGCTTTTCATTCCATTTTCAACTCCCTCACTCTTCCGTCCACTCCCACATTTTTTCACATTTTATTCCCATTTTCCTCTTGCACTTTATCCTGGCTTTGTCATTTGCATTTCACATTTGGACTCCTTTTAGCATTTCAAATGTTCCCACTGCACATTTCGTTCGTTTAAATGGCCCAACATTTTCTGCTCTGCTGTGCATTTTGTGACTTTTAATTGCAGTCCTCAATTACTGAATGAAAAGTAATAATAAATTGGACGCCACATGAACTTTATTCATTTACTTTAACGGCAAATGCAACTGGAATTCCTTAAATTTGCTTTAATTGAAATAGCCAAACTTTACTCAAACGAATTTCTTCGGAACATGAACTCGTTCAGCTTTATGGCAATTTAACAACTGCAAAAAATATTTAATTTTCCCCTGGCAATTTGTCAACTGGGTGTGGCCCCTCAAAAGCCAGACCAGCCGAGATCCAGATACACACTCTGCCGGGCACATATACAAGTCGGTACATATGTACATATATAAATTATCATTGCCAGCCAAAACTCAAATACGATAAATTGCCAGGCAACGGCAGCCGAAGCAGAAGAGGAAAAAATCTATAATTTACACAAAATTCGTTTCCGCATGCGAACGTTTTTCCAATATAAATTGTTCCCATTCCGCTTTCACATCGCTTATAACATATTCATATTGATGTCGCTAGATACGGCTATAATCGCATCGGACCCATAGAATTGCTGACCTTAGCCAACTCCAGATAGGAAGTGTGCCAAATGAGCAGCGAAAGGGTCTGGTCCTCGACAACTTGGCAACTGTTTTTGGTTAATTCCATTTATGTCCTGCACTTTGGCTGCCAGCTTCCGTTTCCAGGCTAATTGATAGAATAATTTTCATTATTTTTTGTCGTGATTGTTATTATAGTGTAGTAGCCCATGCCAAAATTTATTTGTCTCCGTAGGTTGTTATTTTTATTTTGTATTCAAGTTTTAATAACTCTCGTTTGCTTTTAGAGAGGACATTCATTTCTTTTTACTTACCATCGTAAATAATCATTTTTACTGGGTAGTTTTAAGAGATATGTATTAGCTTAAACATTTGTTTGATCCTTTTTTTTTTAGAAAATAAGTCACCAGGTTTCCGTTTCCTTGTTAATTGATACATTTCGTTAATTTTTGTCCCTCATTCTTTGCCATATTTTGCAGCCACAACAACTTTCATCCTTGCTAACTGGAATTGCTTCGAACCATCAACATCAACAAGAACAACAACCACAACAAAGTGCTGCCAGCAACAAAAACGTAATCAGGAATTTAAGCAAAACCAAAACGAAACACACGAAACAGGAAGGAACCCGAGAAAATGTTTATGGAATTGTCATCGTTAGCGAGCAACTGACGCAACAGCTCAAGGCATGTGGCAACAGCAACATCTGCAGCATCAGCAGCAGCAGCAGCAGCAACACTGAGTGGCAGCAGCAACTTTTGGACAGCGGCAGCAACTAGGGAAGCGGGAGCGGGAACAGCCAACCTCCGTGGTTAGGTGGTGTGCTGCTATAAAGCAGCACCATTGCTGCCATTAAAATAGACGCCGCGGCGCAACAGCAACGCTGCCGTCGTCACAATCAACGCCAGCGACAACACCATCCGCACCATCGCCATCGCAGACGACGACGGCGCAGCAGCAACACCAGCGACAACAGCAGCAGCAACTGCAACAGCAGCAGCAACAGCAACAACTGCAGCAGCGGCCTGTTGGGCGCAGTGGGTGTGGCCATCAGCTGCCCATTGCTCGCCACACAGCAACTAATCGACGAACCGGGCAGCAGCAACAACACTGGCGACGACGACGGCGGCGCAGCAGCAGCAATAACGCAACAGCAACACTGCAACCAGCAACATCAGCAAAGTGGTCGACGGCGACGCTACGACGGCCTGTCATCTGTAGGCAATGCAACGCGCTGTGCAGCAACGGTGAGTGCACAAAAAACAATTTTGTATATTTTCGAAATGCTTTCTAGGTTTCTACTTCCATTTGAAGCTAGTTGGGAGGATATAGGAAATTTAAATAATTTAATATTTTTAAAAAAGCAACCAAAAAAAACTCATATTCTAAGTGTCAGACATAGGGTTTCAAAACTGCACTTAAAATAATCACTATTAACTAAATTTAACAAAACTCTTAAAACATATTATTTTTAAAATTAAAGGAATAAAATAGGATCACACAATGTGATACGTTTTTGAGTTTTATGATTCTTTATTTATTTTGTATTGTTTATTTTATCAGTTTCAGAAAAAGGTGCTTAACTTTATGTGTGTGCCACAAAAATGTCGCCATAATTGTCAATAATTTGTTGGGGAAGTTGGCCCCGCTAGGACCTGAGAAGATAGCCTCCTACGCGAAACTCAATTATCGCATCTTTACAAGTTACTTCCGAGAATTTCCCACGACCATTACGTGATCTCGTGTCAATCTCGCCAGCCAGCCGGGGGCCAATGGAAAATGTGAAAATCTGTGCCTCGGCGCAGAGACTCGGGCCTTCGCCTGCCCATTAGCTGTCAGGTTAATGCACCCAAAATGTTAATAAAACACAAACACACACAAACAGAGCGGCGCACATATGAATTTATGATAAGCACACGCAGGGGGCACAAAAGTGAAGAGGGGATGGGGATGGGGATGCGATGGTTTAGAATGGTATGGGATGGAAAACAGGCACTTTAAAGTTGCGACAGCGTGACGTGGGGCAAACTTTCACCGAGAGTCGTGCTAATGAATTCCCCAGTACACGTTGGCTGTATCTGTGCCCGTGCCTCTGTATCTGAATCTGAATACGTATCTGTATCTGTATCTGGGGCTGTGCCAGCGACAGTCGTATAATTTCTAATGCGATGCTTTTATGATCGCCCCACACAAACACTCGGGGAAAAACACCCACGGGTGCTGCCACGCACGTGTCCCAGCCTACTGCTAGGATATACTATATCCCTGTGTGTGTGTTTGTTTTTTGTGTGGAAATTAAAATGCATAAAAGGATAACAGCAGTGTTGCTGCTGTTGCTGCCGACAAACCACAGGACCACATCGAAGCCGTTGGCTGTCGGCAACATTGTCATCGTAGGCAAATTTCGCCATAGACTGCATCGGCAGAAAAAAAAGCTGGAGAAAAAAAGAAAGGAAAAAAAAAGAGAGCGAAAGCGAAAGCCCCTGACAAATTGTACTGCAGGGAAAATTGTGATTTTCGCGCTCATCAACGATGGAGCAGTGGCAACGCCAACAATGGCCCAAAGTGCACGTGTTGCTGCGGTGCTGCGAAACGCAGGCCACGTCTGGTTTAATTTTAGCACCGGGTCCGGGTCCGGGTCCCTGAGCTAAACCGAGCGGCGTAAAACGGCGAAAAGCGAACGATGCCTACACCTTGACACTACAAAACGGGGCGTATACGTAATACACACTGCATACTATTAGGCGCTCATAAAAAATGTAACGTTGTCGCATAAAAATAGATGCCGAACCCTCGGTGCTGTTGTTGCGGCTTAACGAAGAATAAACCATGCATAATGCCCCCAATGTTGTCGTCGCCATCATCAGCATTTGAGTTATAAATTTTTATATGATTTGAGCTTGACTTGTACCATAATTATGTTGGTGTGTGTGTGTGTATGTCTGCTTAGGTATCATAATAAAATGTTCAACATTTTATGGGCGCCCTTCAACTTTAGGGCAAACTTGAAACCTTTCCATCAGGCATAAACAGAAAAAACATATTTATCAAATACCAAAAGATAAATATTAATTTAAATTCTTTTACCACATTTTAATATTTATCCAAATGCATGATTGAGGTACACCCTTAAAAAATATATTTGAGGTGCCAAATAGTATAAACTATATTTAATATTAAATTATTTTAAGTAAAGTTAATAATTTCAATAGATAAAATACGCAAAGTTATTTAAAATGGCGTTTGTCCTATGTTCGAAAAAAGCACCTTTAAAGTCCCCAAACGATTTATTTCAATATGAAAAAAACTATGCATTGACGGCCAATTTGGTGATATTTTTTTTCTGGGTGCAGCTTTCCTGCCAACGCGTTTTCCTCTGTGATTGCGTCTAACTGGAGGCACGTTTGGGCCAGGGGCCAAGGAAGCAGCGATTATTATTGGCAATCAAGTGGAGTGCCATCTTGCCTTTGGCTAGTTCCATCTCTGATTGCAGTCGGTGTGTCGGGAGAGAGTCGAGAAATTGCTGCGATGGGTGGCCTTCTGGCCAGAGGCACAGCACATATACGCCAGTGTGTGGCAACCCTCTCTATAACCCAAATGGAAATGGAATCAATCCGGTGGCGGGGCACCGGAGGAAGTCGCTTCCTTGTTGATAGAGAGTTGCCAGCGATAAAAAGCTATGATTTTGGGTTAAATATTTTCACGTTCACTTCACTTGCCCGTCATCAGTAGTCAGTCCCGAATTCGTTTCACAGCCAGCCAAAATCCAATCTATTTCTCCCCATTTTGCCTGTTATGCAATGTACTCGCAACTCGTAATTCATAAGCCAGCAGCAGCATGTAATATGCCTTCGATAACATTTTGCTCGTGTGACAAATTTTTGTCGCAACCGAAAAAAAAGAGCTGCAGAGAAACAGGAAAAGTTTGCCAGGAAGGGAGGGTCGAGATGGCTGGCTGGATGGTTGGCTGGCAAAAGGACAAAGTGTTAAATGTTGACATGTCCTGACATTCCAAAGAGCAGTGGCCAAGCAGATGGGCCTTAGCCTTAGACAAGGGCTAACGAACGCAGGAAGCTGGCAGCCTGGCCAGAAGACGATGGTCCTGTTGGGCAGACAGAGAGAAAAAATCGCTCGAAGGAGCGGCTTACGTGCTGACAGCTGACAGGGAAACCAATGAACTACGATAGGACATGGCCGCCATTTTACCCCGCTCCTTTTCTGCTGGAATAACATTTGCTGGGTGCTTGTGTTTGTGCGGAACATCAACTAATATTGTCAACGCAACATTCGACTTGTTATCCCTTCCGCTCGCCTGGCTTCCTCTTCTTAATTTCGTTTTGAACTCCACGTCGGCCATTTTGTGTCTGCCCTCTCTTTCCCCTGCTGTCGCTGTCTCTGTCAGTTATTTGCAGAAATTTATTGAAATTGTTTGTCAAATTCCGTTTACTTGTTTTTCGCATTTTGCCAAAAATTTCCTTTTTTGCCAGCACCAAATGATGACAAGGACAACCAGACTTCCGTCGATGTCCTCTTGCGCCATTTTCCTCTCTTCCTCTCTCCTCTCCTTCTTTATTCTTCTCCTCTTCTCCTCCATCTTCATTCTCCTCCTTCCTCCTATTCTTTTTCTGTGTGTGTTTGGCAGTTAATCTAAGAACTCGAACTTGCTTGGCGCTGGGCTATAGGGCCGCTTGGTGGCATATCAACTATAAGTTGGTCCTTACTGTGACCCACCCCCCCCCATCCTGTCATTTTTTTTATAAGTTGGTGCTATAAAATCTTGCGCCATTGCCCATATGCACCCTGCCCGTCGCGCCCTCTCTGTTTTTGTTTTTACATGCAATTCTCGCATATAGTCGCTTACTTTTTTGGAGACGTCCCTTTTGCTCTTGATTTTAAGGACGAAATAAATAGGGCACATGCAGGGACATTGTAGATATATAAATATATTCAAAAAACGATCCAAGATTTTATTGATGTTGCTTGAATTTGAATGACATTGTAAAATTATACGCAAATGTATGCAGGCACCGAAAAAAAGACAAGAAAACTAAAAAAGAAATGATGAAAAAGGGACGGAAGAGGAGGAAAATTTCGTGTTCTAAAAAGTTTTATGTTCATATCTATTACAACTTCTCTGTTATGTATGTCACATTGGGCAACTGTCTTACACAAACACTTAGGAATGGGTACGTACTCATATGCGGAGCGTATGTCTGTGCATAAACCATAGTCAAATTGGCTTGCAAGTGGATGTTTGTGGTTGGGATTAAAGCCCATTGGCTCCATATGTCTTATGTAAGCAGAGCCATGAAAATATATATTGTTCGACTCAATTTGGCAAGTGTAAAAGTTATTCACATCATACCATAACTTCATATAATATTAATTTAAAAATTCATCAGTATATTGCTAGCTAATAGATTAATATTCAATGAGGATTAAAAATATCTAATAAAATGTATGGCTTTTTTAAGAAGTAATACTAAATAGGTCTAGGAATTAAAAAATAGTTTATTTTTCAATAACAAGATAGTTAACCTTTCTAAGAAAAATTTGTAGCACATATTAAATTGTATTATTAAATTGATTTTTTGACCCTAAATACAAAATGTAATATTATTTTGGTATATTTGTTTCATTTCATAATCATTAAAAACTACTTGCTTTTTGGTATGCATTTTCATTTATAATTGATTTCTTAGTCCACTATTAATACTGAAATTTTCTAACAATTTGGTTGGATGAGCTCAATCCTCTCTGAAAGGGATTGCCACTTTACAGATTTTCTCGTTCCCATCTTGCTAGTGCAGGCAAAGTCCCAGAATTAGTGACTGCGTTGCTGTCATGTTTTTTCAACCCTTTAAGCCCAATCCCAGGGAATGTTTTCCTCTTTCGCGCTGAGCAAGTCGTAGAGGCAGGACCGAAAATTGCACGATAACACGGCAGCAAGAACACTCATCTAAATATAGGCTATGGCATAATAGGCTCAAGACGCTTTCATTCAACACTTTTTAGGCAGCAGCATGAAATGGCGCCAGCATGAAAGCCATTCACACACACATACACACGCGGAAGTGAAAAAATGGAACTGAATGAATGGGCCAAAGGATTCAAGGAGCAGGCCAAAGAGGAGTAATCGGCACACGCACGAAAGACAAAGGCCAAGAGCGCTGAAAAAAAAGGAGAATAAAAATGAAACGAACCCCTTTCAAATTTCCATCGGATTTTCTTTGTTTTTCCGGACGCT